AGTCCCCAGCTCCAGAGATGTCTTAAAGGGACCTCAACTTACAGCGACATAGTTCACAGGCTAGGCGTCCCACAAGTAGTGTAGCCTTTAAATTGAGGCAAAGAACAAGCAAGGCAGCCGCATGATCAAAGAGCAAGCGACAAGAAAGGTGAGGCTCACCAAGCCATTTATCTCACTGCCCTTCAGTTAATCCCACTTGCGTTTTATCGGCCAGGCTGGCACAACAAACTATCTAAATACTCTACTTCAGATACAGTGAAACAACAGCATACATAAAACTATTAGAACAGAGGCGTTGGTGGTATAGCGGTGAGCATTGCTGCCTTCCATAAAACTATTAGAGGATACCGCTGAATTAAGAGAAGTAAACTTATGATTCAAAATTATAAATGCACTTAAAAGTGAGGAGTTTAAAAATATGTAGTACAAACTTACCTTCTAATAAATCATCCTTTCCTTCTTTATCACTGGATTCTTGTACAAGGTAATGATGAGTGACTGAGAACTTGAAGTCAGCAAAGGAAATTCCATCTGATTTCTCTTCCCATGTCCCAGAAGTAAATATGCCCTTTATTTAAAAATAAGATGGAAAGGTATCAACTTTAAAGTATTTAATAGTCACTGTTGTGTTTATTCAGGAAAAGGCTGTCTGCTGCCAGAAAGCTGCTATAGGGTTGCTATGAATCAGAACCAACTCAATGTCAGTGGGTTTGGCTTTGATATTATGTTTATTAGCCATAGGGATTTTCCTTGTTGTGGGAAGGTGGGTCCATTAATCTAAAAATTTTATTCTGTAGCTATCTTCCCTACCAAAAAGTAAAAACAATTTAAGTATGAATTTAATTATTCATATGTATGGATAAAACCAAGAAAATATTTTTAAATTACCTATTATAGTATGCCTTTAAATAGAAAAGTACCTAGAATATTAGTCATAAATGACTTAAAATTTTGTAATTTTTCTGTGATGTGAGTTTGTATATAAAATCATGAATACGAAATTATTCCTATTCCTCTTAACATTCAAATATAAACATACTTTAGACGTATTTCAAGTTTGGTTACAGATCACTGCTATAAAGCAAATAGCACAATAAAGCAACTCACATAATTTTTTGGTTTTCTACCACATATGATGGTTATGTTTACCAGATACTGTAGCCTATTAAGTGTGCAATAATAGCATTATGCAAAAGTTTGAAATGACAAGAAGGTGATATAGAGGCAAGAAAGTGAACACATGGTATTCTACAAATGATGCCAATGGAAATGTTTGAGAGTTCCCACAAACCTTCAATTTGTTTTAATCTGTGAGACATAATACTAAGCATACCTGTAAAACCTAGCAATAACAGAATCTCTATTAGTTAATTTTTATACTGTAGTCTATATATTCATCATAATATTTCACAATTACTTATAAAATTTTATAGATTTTTACATTTCAGGGAAAAAAATTGTTAGGTGCCCTTGTGTCAGTTCAAGCTCATAGCAACGACGTAAAACAGAACTAAACATTGCTGTCCCGTGTCACACTCAACTGTTGCTGTTCTTTAAGTCGGGTGTTATAGACATTTTGTCAATCCATCTCCTTGAGGACCTTTCTCTCTGATTTGCTGATCCTCTACTTTATTTACTAAGCATGATACCCTTTTCCAGGGACTGGTCTCTCTTGATAACATGCCCAAAGTATGCCAGATGAAGTCTTACCATCCTCGATTCTAAGGAGCATTCTAGTAGTATTTCTTCCAAAACTGGTTGGTTTGATCTTCTAGTTGACTAAGATGCTTACAGTATTTTTTGTCAATATCATAGAAATGCATCAGTTCTTCTGTAGTCTATTCATTGTCCAGCATTCACACGCATATGAGGTGAATGGAAATCCCATGGCTTGGGTCAGACACACCATAGTTCTCACAGGGATATCTTTGTTCATCTCTTCAACACTTTAAAGAGTAGTGTGCGGCAGATCTGCCCAATGCAATGTCACTTAATATATACATCTATAGTTTGATTTCTTGACCTCATCTACAATGCTACTTCTTTGAGCACTGACTGTGGATCCAAGCAAAATGAAATCTGTAACAACCTCAATCATTTCTGTTTTTCATGATATTATCTATCGGACTAGTTGTAAGGATTTTTGTTTTCTTTACATGAAGTTGCAATCCATACTGAAGGCTACAATCTTTGATTTTCCTCAGCAAGTGCTTCAAGTCCTCCTCAGTTTCAAAAAGAAATGCTGTATCACTTGCATTTCAAAGGTTAAAAAGCCTTCCTCCAATCCTGATGCTTTGTTCTTCTTCATATAGTCCAGCTTCTCAGCATACGAACTGAGCAAGTCTGGCTAAAGGATATAAGCATTTAGCTCATTAAAGGCATTTTAAACCACATAGCATCCCCTTGTTTGTTCATATAATTGCTCCTTGGTCCATGTCTAGGTTCCCCATGATCATAATGAAGCACTGTACAATTTCCCTTCTTTCCAATGTTATCCATAGTTTTTTATGGTCCTCAGGTGAACGCCTTTGCATGGGAAAGTTTCAAATTTGGTAATACCACTACATATTATAGCTTATAGCCCTGTTGAGCACCAGCAATAAGGCCATTTACAAATAAGGAAGCACCCTGTACAACTGATGTGACATTTGTAGCCATTTATGTAACAGGTTTCTTCAAGCTCTTCATCAAATTTTAGCATTCAGTTCTTGTCATTTAATTAACAACTTTTAAAATAGAAAGCCTATTTTAATTATGAGTCTCAAAGAGCCCCTTACCTATCCAATTGAACTGTACAGGTCCCCAACTCCACCCTGAAGTTTCTAATCTCCCATAGCTATTCTTTCCACAGAAAGATAAACAGTCATCCCAGCACGGTACCATTGCAAAGGTACTATCACCCCAACACTTGCTAAACAAAGTGGTGATTCTACACTAGATAAGAAACGACGTAGGCAAGATTCTATAAACTACTAAAATTGTTACAATTCATGAATGTAACTAATGTACGACACTCAAATGTTTTATATGTGTTCCTGCCAAGTTATGTACAACTCTGCATTAGTAGTTTGTGTGTCCTATGGACTCTAGGCGGCACCAACAATTTGCACCCCATGTTAGCCTACAAAGATGTGCATGCAGTTCCAGTAGACTCTGTGGTAACATGGAAGAAAAGAGCTGGCAGCCTGATTCTGTTGGGACTGCACCAAGAAAGCCCCACGGAGCACTTCTACTCACAACACCTGGGACTGCCACAATCAGAAGCAGCTTGATGGCAACTAACAACAGGCATTTTATTTTGTGACAACATAAAACAGCAATCCTTTCATGAGGAAAAGAATCACCGTGTATGATGTATGTGATAAGTCACATTGTTTGCACGTGGTGTTTCCTTCAAGTGAGCTTGTCCTGTTCTCACTTGAAGGGGTATAAATTAAGGTATATATATGACCCACAACCAAAGTCTTTTAAAAAAAATTGTTAAGTGAACTAGGCGAGGAATTACATTACAGAATCAATTTTCCATTCAACAGTTTAAGCTACCCCCTGACCCCAGCCAACTGTCTCTGAATTCTCGTTTCTCCTATGGGTTACTGTCTTCCCCTTTACCTTAATTAATAGCAACTTTCTAGCTTATTGCTTCATCTTCCCTGCCTTGATAAGCTACACAGTCTGTTTCTTTGGTATAGAAGTCTTAGTCTCGGATTTTTGGGTTTCCCCCTTCTTTATAACAGAAGTCTCATATAATATTTGTCTTTTTGTGACCACCTAACTGCAGCCAGTATAATGTTCTCCAGGTCCATTCATGCCAGGAGGTGCTTCTTGGTTTCATCATTATTTTGTTTTCCTTTTTCCTTAGTTGCTTTTTTATTTTAATAACAGTTTTATTGGCATATAACTCACATCCCATTCAATTTAATGGCTTAAATAACTTAAAATAAGTTGTATAGTAATCACCACAATCAATTTTAGAGAAACAATTTCTTCATTTTTATACTCATTATTATTCACTCCACACTACACCCACCTCCCCACCACCACAACCCTAAGGAACTATTCATCTAGTTACTCTTTCTACTATTTCTAGATTTCATATCAAGAAAATCATGCAAAAATCAAAGACCCTCAATCCAAGCAAAAGCAGACTGTAACAGAAACTAGAACAAATGAAACAATGAGTAAAAGAGGAAAACAAATTGGAATATGCTAAACTTAAACTGTATGTGCAGTAATCCACCTTCCAGTGCACTCAGAAAGCAAGACTATTCACATCCCTTGTCAATAGTCTGAGGGAGTTCAATGGAGGCGTAATCAGAGTGGGGGCTCTGCAAATGGATTTTGGGCTCATCAAGGCTTTTTGCAATACATAGTATTCCACTGTGGGTATGGACCAAACTCTCTTCATCCATTCTTTCACTGGTGGGCACTTAGCAATTGGCACCGTGAACAGCACTATGGTGAACATGGATGTGCAGGTGTCTGTCCTTTTTATGGCTCTACTGCCTTGGGGAATATAGCCAGCAGAGGGATTGCTGGGTCCTATGGAATCTCTAATTTCAACTACTTGAAGTAGTGCTGTATCACTTTCCACAGTGGCTGTACATTTTCAGTCCCATCAGCACTGTAGAAAGGTTCAAATCTCTCCAAACCCTCTCTAGCACCTGCTATTTTCTATTTTTTTGAACTTGACTGTCACTGCTGGTGCCCACATCCAGCCTTAAGCTGCTATAAGTAATTTAATAACATAAATAAGAACTTAAGTCTTCTAGAATGAATGTGCAATATAAAGCAAATAAAGCTAAAATTACAAAAGGGAAGAGGGGAGTAAAAAAATGAGACACAAGTCTCCTTTTCAAGTTTATGGTACACCTGAAAAAAATTTAAATTATAGACATAGTCAGACCCTTTGTATGGTTCCTTGGTTTTACAATAATGGTGTTAAGGCATTTCAAAAATATATATTCAATGAATCTATTAACAAAATGATAGTATTTCCAACAAGTGTTCCTAAAATTGGATAATCCCATAGAAGAAAACCTAAGAAATTATCTTTAGAACTTTAGATTCCTTAGACAAAAGGCAATTACCATAAAATTAAAAGGTGAAAAACTGAATTACAGCAAAATTTAAAAGGTATGCTCATCAAAAGTGACAGTAAGAAGCTAAATAAGAAAGAGCTAGGAGGTAAACGGCATTTATAGAGGTCTAAATACAGGCATGTACATATGTAAATATATTTAGATAGGAGGATGTAGAAATAGATCTATGTGCATATATATATAGAATTAGTACTAAGGTAGCAAACAGACATTGGGCCTCCACTCAAGGACTCCCTCAATGCAAGAATACTTTGTTCTATTAAACTGGCATTCCATGATGCTCATCTTCCTGATAAGATCGCTGAAGACAAAGGGGGTGAATAAGCACATGTAGTGAAGAAAGCAGACGGTGCCCCGACTATCAAAAGATATAGTGTTTGGGGTCTTGAAGGCTTGAAGGTAAATAAGCGGCCATCTAGCTCAGAAGCAACAAAGCCCACATGGAAGCAGCACACCAGCCTGCGTGCTC